TATTTATTTAATTTTTACCCCGCCCCTCTAGACAATGTCTACTCGGGTTGGCTTACATAGATAAAAACACATCAATATAACATGTATAAAATCATAAAGAATACAATTGTAACAATTAATTCCAAACAACACATTACCAAGATGGCATGACTTAAAAAAAAAAAAAAGACGGTACTTCCCATTATGAGCTTGCCTGGATGTTAAATTCTTCAGGAAAGGCCTTTCTCTCAGTCGCACCACCCTCATGGGTGAGCTTGGTGGGAACATGGGAGAGGGCCTTCTGTGTTACTGCTCCCAGGCTCCACGCAACTTCCTCCCATAGGAGGCCAGGTTGGCCCCATCTTTACTATCCTTTCACAAGCAGATGAAGATCTTTGTCTTCAAGCCGGCTTGCCCTAAGCAACTGGCTGTGTAAGAGGGCTTTTAAAATTGGGATGGTTAATGTTTTGCTACTTTTAATCTGTTTAAATAATGCTTTTACTTAACATTTTAAATACAATGTTTATTTAATTATTTTTACCACTTGAATACTTTATTGTTTCTAACTATCTTTTTAATGCTGTAAGTCACCTTGGGTTCTTTACAGAAAAAGGTGGGTAAAAATATTTGCTATCTTTTTTAATGTTGTAAGTCACCTTGGGTCCTTTACAGAAAAAGGTGGGTAAAAATATTTTAAATAAATAAATCATTTTCTTCATGAGCACACTAGACATCTCTGGAAGAAAAACCCAGATTTCTTACTTTGACAAAATTGATCCTAACTATCCTAATTTAGAAAAATCGCCTCGTTGATTTGAATAGGATTACTTTCCTGTGCTTTTAGGACTTAACCTGTAATGCATTTTTACCATGTTTTCTATCTGCTAACCAGGAGGCACCCCACTAAGTAGGTAGCAAAAAAAATTAGTTATCCATTAGAAAAGTTTTATGGTTCCTGTAAATGACTAGGCTGCTTCAAAGCACAACCACACTAGCAAATGAGTAATCACAGTCTTTTAGAGAGCAGAGACAGACAAACCAATAGTCATTACTTTTGTTATATTATTGGTGTTTGAACAATCATTAATCTATCCTTTGTGATTAAAAAGAATTAAGCCCATACTATCACTTTTCAGAACAAAACCTTTTAACAAAAGAATTTAAAGAAAAAAAGTGGCTGAGTCCTAACAGATGTTTTACAGGGAGCAATTTATTGGTTATTCACTTTCATGGAGTATAAAGCTTAACAATTTAATTGCCTTTTTGTGTCTGACCAATGAAAGTCCACAGAAATTGCAATTTGGCCAGCTTGATAGTTAGCATATATAGTTAATGTTTCTGATACACAGACCTCATGAAACTGGGAAGAAGGCAGTAACAGCCTGTTAGAATTAAATCTGTTGGTCAGTGTCCTGTTGTGCTGCTCTGCCTGTATAATGAGAATGATATTAGTGGCAGACTGCTGCTGATCAATGTGACTTCCATTTTCAATTTCGAGGATGTACACCATTTCTCTTTGTGTGTGAGCCATGCTACCCATGAGTCCACAAGTTATATAAAGGTATTCAGAGTTTAAAATACACTTGAAGCAATATTAATAATGATAAGTTATATAACACTCCTAAGTGCTCAGCAAGGTGGTGGCTCCTCCATTAGGGTAACTGAGATATGGCCCTGCTTCATGTTTTTCTCATCATCCCACTTTTGCCCACCTCCTTACCAGAGAAAGGGAGCCTCTGCGTGTTTCTGTATGAATGCCTGTATGCACACCTGCCAATCTGTGTGCATACACAAAATGTGCATACAGTAGTTCATATTAGTGAAAATATCCACAAAAATGAAATAAATGATGGGAAATCACTTGCCAAAATGGATGCCTTTGAATTGTGGTGCTGGAGGAGGCTCTTGAGAATCCCCTGGACTGCAAGGAGAACAAACCTATCAATTCTAAAGGAAATCAACCCTGAGTACTCACTGGAAGGACAGATCATGAAGCTGAGGCTCCTGTACTTTGACCATCTCATGAGAAGAAAAGACTCCTTGGAAAAAACCTTGATGATAGGAAAGTGTGACGGCAAGAGGAGAAGGGGACGACCGAGGATGAGATGGTTGGACAGTGTCTGCGAAGCTACCAACATGAATTTGACCAAACTCCGGGAGGCAGCGGAAGACAGGAGGGTCTGGCGTGCCCTGGTCCATGGGGTCACAAAGAGTCGGACACGACTAAACGACGACGACATATATTGGGCATATTTATATACAAAATGAGTATGTTAGGAGAGCACTGTGCATGAAAATATGTGTGAATTTTTATGCAGACTTTAAAAAGAAACCACAATACAGAAAGTAGATGAAACACCTGGGAAAATGCCAAACTGAGCAGAATGGAAACTGATGGAACATGACTCTTCAGGCACCCCAGGAAGTGCAGCTGGCAGCCAGCCACACTTCCTGCGGTGCTGTCACATCACTGTGCCTCTGGATTGTTCAGAGATTAAAGCAAGGAGCTGAGCAGTCAGAGTTCTGGATTGCTTGGAGTGGTGGACTAGGGCCTTGTTTAGAAGTCAAAACCGATGGAAACCTTCCACCTTCCTCATATAAGTAAGATAAGGGGGCTCCTCCCCAGCTTGTGCCAACAGGCTAGCCCAACAAGTTATCTATAAGCTACTTATTTGTCTTTTTTACAATGATCAAAAAGCAACATTATTATTTTTAGCTATTTTACAAACAATAAAGCAAAAGTAATGTCTCAATCACCTTGCCTTCTGGGGTATGTCAGCATGTCCAGAAGTAGACTGAGTTGCATTTTTTAAAAATAAGGATTTTATTTATTTATTTATTTATTCCATTTATACCCCGCCTATCTGGTCATATTGTGCATAGATTATATCTACTGCTCCGCTTTGCTGTCCTTGCTTTGATAGAGGGGGACACTAGGTGTGCCAGGCCAAACCCTGACTTAAAACCAAAAGACCTAACAGATAAAAGAATTAAGAGACAGCCAATAGAGTGCAGTGTTTACGGTGCTGGGGTAGGCTTTAGATATCCAGAGTCAGTCCCCGGTCAGCTATGAAACTCCTTGATTGAGCTTGAGCCACTTGTTTTCTCCCTGTCCTCACAGAATTCTTGTGAAAACACAGCAGGGGAAGAGGAAAGCTATGTATGCTGCCCTGAGGTGGTTGTTAGAAAGGCATTTCTAGCAATAACAGATAATGAAATAATAAAACCAAAATTGTAGCAACTCAGGAATATCTTTTGGCTGTTTAGCAGAGGTTCAGGTTTGATTGTCTTTTTCAGCACCGATTCACTCTTGTTGGCTTCTTCAAACAAATTAGCCTGCTCTTATTCCCTTTCCTCTTCACCGCCTTGCACAGACTTGACTTATGGGGGAGGGGGCAAGACAGATCCTTGGATGAAATCTGCAAGGCCCTTCTCTAAGTATCCTCCCAATTTTAGCCAAATCAGGTACCCACAGCAACGATCAAGAGCAGGCACAAAAGGAATTATTCCAAAAAGCAGAGCTTGCTTCCCTCCCCTATAATTCAAAAATACTGTCTGGCACTGCCATCTGACACACTCTACTGTTCTTCATTAATGACATAACTATCAAATACTACATTTTCTCTTTCACTGCGCAACAAGACAAGAAGGACGCACACCCTCTTACCCAATCTCCAGTTTTAGATATATATTGTTCTTTGAAAAGGGTATAAACAACCAACCATCCTCAGCTTTACCAACCTGTTGTCGTTGCTATGCCAACGCACTCTGGGGACTGGCTGTTTACAGGTGAGGGTGCAGATGGTACATCCGTTGAGGTAACAGATTTAGCTGGAGAGAAAGGCACTGGGAAGGGACTTGGAGCAACAGGTTCTGCCAGTGTTATCTCTGCTCTTACTTCTATTGCAATATGAAGAGAGAGAAAAAGATGCTAAAATAACAAGGCTGTTTTTCTTTTTTAGTTCTGTTGTATTCCTTTTCTTAAGAGGTTGCAGAATTTCAGTAAAAATATCTGAATTATTCCTACTCCCCTTACAGACCCTAAAACGCACTTTTATTTGCTCAAGATTCCTCAGCTCTCCAATCTATAAAGTACTGATGCTCTTAGTGTATGTAGAATACCACTTCTCAGAGTAAGAGCAGCCTGTTTGTGCACATTTAGGATTTAAGGCTTTCAGGACAGACAGCATGTGTCCAAACAATCATTGTTTTTTGGAAGTTAAGTATTGCCAATCAGTCTGCGTTTTGAAATCTCTCTATGGTTTTCAGACAATGTTAACAGTAAATACATGTGAAACAGTATTACAGTAGGACCCCCATAACTGATGGCGAATGATTCCAAGTCCTTGTGGATAATGCAAACTGTGGATAACTATATATTTAGCATGGTAAAAGGAAAAAAAACAGGAAAAAATTTTTCACACACAATACCAGAACAGGTCGCTAGAGGGTGCCAGAGACCATGCTGTGTATTCTTCACTTATATATTTAGCATGGTAAAAGGGAAAAAAACAGGAATTTTTTTTCACACACAATACCAGAACAGGCCCCTAGAGGGTCCCAGAGATCATGCTGTGTATTCTTCACTAGTGGCCAGTTCTAGCAATACATGCAAAATAGGTTTTTTCCTGGATTTTTTCTTTTAATATTTTTAATATTTTCACACTGTGAATAACTGAATCAATGGATACTGATCCGGTGGATAAGGGGGTCCTAGTGTTCTATATTTTCCTATGACAATATATATGCACATATATTCCTATCAATGGGCTACCTGGAATTTTACTGGTGTTAGTAAAAAGCCCTACATGATCTCTATATAATTTAGATTTCTTTTGCATCACTGTATAGCTCACCCTGTTGTAGATTTAACATTTCATATGATCCAAGCTCTGTACCTACCACCACAAAGCAAAGTAAATTCCCCTGTTGCCACAGAAAGATTTGTGTTTGTGTTCTGTGCTGTCACGTTGAAACTAACTTACAGTGACCCTAATAGGGTCTTCCAGATAAGTGGGGCATTTAAGGAGTGGTTTCACCAGTTCCAGTCCCCCAAGTGAGTTTTCATGGCCAAGTGGGAATTCGAACCCTGTTCTCCAGAGTCCTAATCCATCACTCTGTCCATTACACCACACTGAGAATCCAGCATAAATAAGGAAAGGGCCATTTATGATGCAATGGCAAGAGTAACACATTTACCTGTCCCCTCCTCTCCTTTCATAGCTCTCATCAGCTCATTGGCTCTTTCTTGACAATGGAGTGACTCTAATAAGTACAATACGTAGTCATCAAACATCAAATGAATTAGATGAAAAGATCCTGAAGATAAAATAATGTAAATAAAAAGCAATTAACAGAACATTCTTGCTTTCTGAATCCCACCACTTCTATGTTGTCCATCTGATGATCATGTTAAAAAAATCCCTGTGGAAAATACTGTGATCTTTAGGATCCCTATGATTCCTAGGTTTCTTAGACCTCATTAAATCATAATCCTATAGCAATCTATAAGTCCATTGTGAGCACTGAGGTTTTTCTTCTTTACTCCTCTCTCCCTTAATTAAGTTGGGCCTCCCCAATTTTTGTTTACAGTGAAATCCCATGTATCCTTAATTAAAAAGCCAAGAACCACTCCTTATTTACTAATCAGTGGGTTCAGGATTCTTAAATTCTTGTTTTATTTTTCTATTAATATTAATGGACAGAAAGTGTCATTTAGATCTTCTCTCTCAGGCACAGGTTTCCCAAGATATTTTGATGCCTGAAGTGGAATCCAAATGAACTCTACCCCATTAAACTTGACATTTTAGAATGCTTTGCTGCACTATTCATATGACAAGTCATGCTATCATTTGTTTCCTCTTCATGATGCCACCTAAAGTACATTAGGTTGACTCTGTTCTAGCCCAAAATGTTATGAGCCATCTTCTCCAAGGATGGAAAGAAATAATTTTCAAGCCTTCATATCCTACATCTAACCAATCAGTTGGGTCAGAATCATGGACCCATCATGAGGAAAACAAAATCCTGCTTTCTTTGGGAAGGACATATATGTGTTTAGAGGAATTCTCTTATTGTATTTATCATTTACCATCAGATTAAGGTAATTAAAAGTTGCAGTATTATTATTTTTGAATACATGTGAACAAATTTAGTAATAATTTGTAGTTAAAATGCAAATGATATTGTTGACAATAACATTTACTGCTATACAGGCAAAAACAAGAAATAATTGCATCACCACTGAAGATATGCCAATAATCCAACCCTAGTAGTGAGAAGACGACTTCACCTATTGGCATCTCCATTCTTGCAGAAATCTTTGAAACAGCCTGCTGAGAACTACTGGTTTAAGGACCATGACAAATTCCAAGGAGTCAGGGGCACGTCCAGACAGAGGAAGTTGGAGCAGTCTGGTTTGCACATCTCCCACATGAACGACCCTTTCATTCACACTGATCACAACATTTCTTCTCCTATGAAATGGCTCCAGACATGTCTCTGGGTCATTCCAGATTGTCCCCCTTTCAGTGGATGACTCTCCCCTTTCTGCTCCCATCCCTGACTTTTCCTGCAGCTGTTATTCAACAGGCCAGGATGATTTTCTCTTTTTTCTTTAATAAAGGAACTGACATAGCGCAATAGCAGTACATCTAATGTAACTTGTTTATCTAGAATAGCATTGCATCAGTAGGAAATATATCTATGTTTACAATTCTAGAGTAGATGAAAATAGAGAAAGAGGGTTCTCCATAATCTCTTTCAGTGCCATAACCCATTAAATACATCACTAGGCTGTCACCTCAAATAACACTAGCCCCAGCTCTTTTTTGCTACAAACTAACCGTTCACACAGGCTGCAGAATGGGATAATCAATAGTGCTCCAAATTGCAACACAACAACTGTAGCCCTACTGCTGTGCCAAAAAGAAGCGAAACAGCTCTAAAGAGTGATGGGATGAATTGCTCTAAGTCAAAACACATGCAGATGCTGTAATTTGATTCAAACCAAACAGCACCAGAAACTATCCTAATAGTGAGCTGCATGTCTGTCTGGATGTGCTCTCTGTTGCTGTAATTGCTCCTTTCCTTGGCTTCCATCTTTGGAACAAGTGCATTTCCAAGGGATTATGTTTGTGGGCACAATAAGAAGTTTAGACTTATTCATTGCATCTTGTTCTGCTTCAATACTTTCAAAAAGCTAAACTAAGTAAGCTTTCCATGGAACTGTTAAGTACCAAAGTATCTGCATAACCAAGGAAGCAAAATTAATTCCAAATTAATTTCTATTTTGTAGAATGTGAAAGAAAACTTAAGAAATACTGACACTTGCCTACATCCAGCCAGCATACAAAGTTCATCTAGCCTTTGAAATTAATCTCCCAAATCCAGAGAGCCAATCTGGAGGTGACTGGAGCCTTGATGAGCCAGATCAGAATGGTCTCCTCTCCCCCCCCCTTCTCCTACATCTATCCTCTCTTCCTTGCAGAGAAAAACTACTGCCTCCTCTCTCATTCCTTATTCAGGAATCAAATGAATACACAGCAGTGGCAGATAAAGGAGTTTTCTAGAAGATAGTGTGAGCTGCAATGATAAATCAATCAAAGGAGAAGGGGAATTCCAGCCCTTGTCAAAAACAGATGCAAAACAGCCCTGGAGGCATCAGATGCCTTGATTAACTCTGCTCAAGAATGTGGTTACTGTCTAACTAGCCACCTGATATTCAGAATGTTGACCTCAGAAAAGCCAACTAGCAGCCACATGCATGCCGAGTCTTAACTGGAGCATCTCCTGCTGTATCCCATCTATTTCTATCATGGATTCTTACTAGAGTGCTGCTTTACCGGTTGCCACTATGGTTTGGGATGTACATTCCACTCATATAGGAATTGCCCATCCCTCATTCCCAGCATTGTCTCTAACCTCTTATAGCCTGCTTTAAGCCCCAGTAAAGCTTTTCATGGATAGCTAGCAGAAAAAAGAAGGGGAAACATGAAAACAACGGGCAATATACCTAAGAGAACCTTGCTGTTTTTCCCCCCTCTTCTCTCTTGATGGCGGAGTGGAAAATGCAGTAACATGAGACTTACAGACATAATAGATTCTATGTAGATTGATGGCACCACACAAAGATATTTGGAAGAAACTGGCCAATAGTGCAAATAGTAGGTTTCCAAGATCACCATGGTTTACCCTTCAGTTATCAGTGGGCAGCCATTGATAGTCATTGTGGTAATCACTTGCCTTGCAACTATTTTGGCAGTGGACCAAATTTCAATAGTACTACTTTTGCACTATGAGACCCTTCCCCCATGAAGAGAAAAACTGGAATATTATTCTACTGTGGAAAATTCAAACTACATTTTAAAATTAATACCGTCTTTCCCCACATAATCACTACTACTGCTATTAATACTATTACTAATATTGTTTAGTATCTGCTGTAGAGCTAAATGGCTCATTGTCTCATATCAAACTATAAAGAGGAAGTACCAAAGCTGGGGGCACTGTGCAAAGTCATATCTCGAATAACTCTTGTGCCAAAACAGGACCACATCAAGAGGAACTGCTGAGCCACTTTTTTCAAAGAGCCTTGTCTCTTAGCAGCTACCTATAAACAAAAAGAAACAAATGTGATACACATGCATCTTCATGGTATAAAGCTTATGATCTTTCACATGTTTTGTTAAATGGTTCAGTGCTACCATAACTTTATACAAATAGTAATCACTTAAAAAAACGCACATGATGCATGTCTGCAAATTTGTCTCCTCCTCCTAAACTGTTATTGGGAGAAAGTGGGAGAAAGTTGAGACAAAAAGAAAATAATAATGTATTTGGGGATAACTCTAGTCTAGGGGTTCCCAAACTGTATGCTGTGGCTCCATGGGGTGCCCAGGATCTGAGTTGGGGTGCCATGGGAAAAGAAATGGAACATGGAGCTATGAAGGCTGTAAAGGAGCTGTTCATAGCTCTGTGTCAAACAGGAACTGGAAGTGGTGGTTGTGTGCCTGCCTCTCCTTGCCTCCTCTCTATGGCCCCTGATGGAGGCACTTGCTAGGTGGCCTTGTGATCATTGGGTAGGGGGAGGAGATGGGCTGACTCAGGAGGGCTGTCAAGATCCTGCCCCTTGTGGCAGTGAGACTCTGATGGCCCCTCTGAGCCATTTTATTTTGTTGTCCGAGCTAGGGGAGCCACGGCCAGTGGTCAGTAAATGAAGGGAGCCATGAGCACAAAATGTTTGGGAACCATTGCTCTAGTCCTCTATCTGGGGGAGAAAAAAGATCGCTCCTTCCTTCTTGGAAGTGCCAAGAGGAATACAACTTCTTTCCCCTTGCTTTTATGGAACATTCAACATGTTCTTGTGACATCAGTAAACATCAATCCCAATGTTCATCTCTGATCTATTTGCATACCAAACAACCACTCTGTGTCACCCCAGGAAAGAAAGAAACTGCCATACTTATCAGGTCAGAAAGTGAAGGGTAAAAAAATTCACCATGCATATAGAAAGATAAGGAAAAGTTGAGAAAAAAACTGATTGATTTACAGTATATGTCAGCCATTTGATAGTTATTATGCTTATGCTATTGTTATAATTTCACTTCTTCACACACTAGCTGGCCACTAAGGATACTCTTTCACACAACGAAATCTGCATTTCTAATACAGTACTTCTACAGAATTAAATTGCTATTTTTTTCATCCATCACTACACTGCACTCTATAACAGAGAAAGGATAAAGGAAGGTATCAGCCACCATCTTGTACAGTCCATGTCAAACTCCCCATAGAAATTCAGGGGCTGAACTACACAAGAGGTAACTCATAATCTCTGAGCATTGAACATACTGGGTGGAGTTGATGGAAATTCTGCTTGAAACATCTGAGGGGACAAAGTTTCCTACATATGATATAGACAGAATTACACTAGTTATGCTAATGATCTGAATCTGTATGAGGCAGCCTCCTATGAAGAAGTCTGGACCAAAGGTTACTAATGTGACTAATCTCATTCTCACTGAGATGAGAGATTGAATGAAATATAGAAAACATGCTTTCAAAAATGTTCTCAATACTCGTCTTCAGAAAGGAATTAACAAGTGCCAGACTCAAGGATCACATTTCATATTTTCCAAGCACTGTGTAGGATCCACCACTTACTGTACATACTAATTCTTTTACTGACCTTCACAACGCATCTGTCCACCATGGAATCCAGCCATTCTACATATGACTCGATGGGGGATTGCTCTTCTAAAAGATGATCGAACTCCTGATATACTAGCAAAATAAAACCCCATTGATCTAATAAGTACTAGTTATCATCTCTTGTCGAAGCAAAGTGATTAAAACCACAAGTGAATTATTGATACTGTCATACTTTGTAGAAAGTGCTTAAATATCAAAACATGATTTTTCTCCCTCAAGGACAGAGGCTAAAACTTTTTTTCACTGTGCTCAGTTTCCCTTCTTTCTCTCTGCGACCTCCACTGAAATCAGTGTTCTGAGTTTTTGTTTTTATAAAGGAACTCAAAGCCCCTTCAACCTTTAGTTACATTTCTCAGCAGTGCTTGTCTGTGAATAAAACACAGGCATAGCCTTGATGATCATTCTTCCAAGTGCTAAAGCTAGGCTATGACCTTTTGATAAAGAAGGTCATGCATGTAATTGATTTAGAAATGTATAAAGATGCTATTTAAATCCAGAATAGGCAAAAGTTGTTGATGGCCTTCCTATCAGGAAATGTTCCACAGCTCTATAAATACATCCCAGAACTGCTACTAGAAACATTTCTCTGCAGAGATTAAAAGCAAACTATTTCCTATGAAAACGTACATTACTGTCAGACCTAATGACTCAAAAGAGATTTCTAAATATCGTTTATGTAAAGGGGAGACTATATTCTAAATGTACAATAGGAAAATAAACATTAAAGAAAACCAAGCATTTCTTGTTTTTATTTATTGAAAACATATTAAGCTATCTTTGCCTGGTGTCAAACACAACACACAAGAGTGAGTTGTTGAACACAACAAGAAAAACATCCCATTTCAGATATGATGAAGGCAGCTGTTATAAGTTATGAATGATCAATCCAACTAGGAATTTTCTCCAAGTAAATTTACACGAGATGCAGTCCTAGGCATTCTTCCCTGGAAGTAAGTCCCACTGTGCTCCCATCTGAGTAGACACACATAAGATTGCACTGTATAACATATAATAATTAATCAACCAGCTACAAAGTCAACCAACCACAAAGGGTAGCAAAAATAGTTGCACTCCTTTTAAAAATTAGGAAGTAGGGAGGAGAATCCCCATCTTATTTTTCAGATTTAGCCAGGTTCATCTTTTGGTTTCCTGCGTCAATTATTATGTTTTTGCCACTCTGCTTAATTATAGTTGGCTGTTTTTGTTTTACTGCTTTGTTACCTTTTGTTCTTTGTTCTAGTTTAATATTCCATCATTTTAAATGGTGCAATGTGAGCCACTTTGGTACCCATTTTTTTTAAAAAATAGCAGGAAATCAATGTTTGAAAGCAAACAATAAAGTACCCAAACATATATTAAAACGTAAATATGAAACTATAAGGGTAATCACACACACATATATATCTTACAGTCTCATATTATAATTTGGCTTGGTTACAGAATATCATCTCAATTAAGAAGGAAATGCCTTCAATTGTTTCATTGGCCAAAGTCCTCTTGTTTAGCTATGAAGATAGTGCAACCTTTGGAGGCAAATTGCCTCGTTAGGAAATTACTGTAGTCATTATTAGTTGCATGCTGATTCACATAACCTAGTATGCAACTAATAATGTCTGCAATGATTTCTTAATTCAAGGCAATTCATCTCAAAAAGTTATGCCATTTGTATTATCCTAATATAACTAGGAAAGATGACTTGAGGCATTTTGTTCAGGAAAGGTTTGAAGTCTGTGGAGAGAAGACATCATTTTAGAAGAAGGTTGCATTAAATTATCTTGTGAAAAAAGATTACAAGGGTATAAGTGGATACTTCTGTGATATTATGAGATGGTCTTAATATGTTTTTATGGATGTAGGTTTTAGAACTGCAAAATACATAAGGCTCTGTTCATGTGTATCTGTCAGCAGCAGTTTTATTGATAATAAATAGAATTATTGGCCAGAATCCTATTGGTTAATTACACCGAAGGTAAATAACATAAATTGCAGTAATTAATTTCTATTAGTTAATGAGTTACTGCTTGTATCACTGGTTGCACACCAATCTGTATCGCCGGGACATGAATGAGGCCCACTTACTAACTAGTCCATTAATTCTTAGGGCTGCCATATGCGAGAAGCAACGTGATGGTACATAACAAGAGTTCAGAGTAAGTCACCTTTGCACTGGATGTTCACCAGTTCATAATTTCTTCCAAAATACGTAACTCTATTATGAGCAACTTTATTCATATAAAAAAAGCAGCAACAACCAGGTTTCACAATTCCTGAAGTTACGCTGAATTTTCCACACTCTGTAAATGCCTTTCAGCTCTTGCTTTTCTACTGCAATAAGAAATGATATGCCTGGAAGCACAGAGAAATTTTCAGCTGATGAATAACATGAAAGGAAAGGGTTATGCAGGTGTTTTTTTTCTGCACAGATTTTCCCACTACAGGTCTGTTTTGTACTTTAATCAACAGATTAGGATGTGCGGAGAAGCCCTGCTGATGCCAAAGCAATTATACTAGTTAGCATGCTCTGTATTGGCTGTGAGGCCCTGAGCAGCTGCAACTCTCATGGCTAATGGCTTTACATTCTTACATTGTATTATAAGTTTCCTGTGTTCCTCCCGCGAATCTTCCATGGTGTATAACGTTTGTTTGGTAATGCTGTTGAGGTCCACATTCCTCCAGTCTTCTAGCATTTGGAACGTAATGTCTGTACTGTGGATCACAGTTCTTGATGCCTATAATCCAATTCAAACAAGTCAGCAGCTTATAGTTTATTAGCTTTAAAATAGACTTCATCCCCTTATAAGCTTCCTTGGTGATTTTGGCTAAATTGACATTTCCTTTAGCTCTACTCTGGAAGAATAGTGGGACACAACGGGCATCTCTGGACTCTAATTAATTCGTTCTCACAAATTACAGATCTTGATTAGAAGCCTCAATCTGACCATGCTCTCCCTATGTTTGTTCTCTACTTTTTTTTATTTAAAAAGAAAGTGCCTTTTCTCTACCCACACTAGTTCCATAACAAATACAGACCAGAGTCTAAATGCTGGTTCTATTATTAGGCTGCCTCAGGCAGCAAGTTTTGAATACTATAAAAGGAGAAAACATTTATTAATTTGTTATTACTCAATTTTATTGTCAGAATGGTGGAGAGCTTCTTGTGGGATTTTCTGCCTCTTCTGCAAAAATAATCCAGTGAATTTACTTCAACACTGGGTGCAGGACAATTTAAATGTTCATAGCAGACTAATCTAGGCAGCACACAATGGTTTTTATGATAAACACAACTCTGTGCACCAACGGAGAGTAGCTGAGGGGATTCCATTGCAGTGCCACAACATCTGCCATCTCTCTGCATGTTTTAAACAGCAGGCCTGGATTGAATGGCTGAGCAAGTCCTACAGGCAGAGCTGATTTGGCCCAGAGAAAGAAACTTCCACTACCTATTTAACATGGATCAGGGGGACAGGAGGAAGATGGAGTTAGGAGCAAGGGGCTTGGACAGCCATTTCAGCTGGTTCTTTAACAGTTACTATGAGATTAGCTCTTGCTCCTGTTTTGGTCATGTGCAGGCCAGCAGAAAGGCTTCTGACTCTCTGGTGACTAAACTGGACAATGTTTTTTCTTTGGAAAGTACACTTGCTACCAAGGAGTTCAACAGGGAATTATGTGCAAAACTTTGTGTTTTTCTTGCTTTTGAGCATTCTGGCTTTGAATGCATTTTAAGACCCATCAATGGATTTGGGTTTAACATGGGAACAATTAAAATATGCACATTTATGCATCTACAAGTAATAGAAATTTAAAATGACAAAACAAAATAAATGTATGAAAAAGAGAAACAAATTACCTGACAAAGATGGTTTAATGATGTTTGCCTCCGGAGAATCTGAGAAAACCTCCTAGATACTGCCAATGAAGATATTTATACGATAAATCAGATTGATTATTTTGGTTTCCAAGATCACCCAAGAGTTCAAGAAAGTCTGACACATATTCTGCTTTGGTAATTAATGTGTGCACAATCTACCTTTTTAAAAAATTGCTTGTAGAAATATCAATATTTTTGCAACTGGGTGACAACAAAATAAATCTTTTTTTATATCACACATGATTTTTATTGTAGCAAATTCTCAGTACTGAAAGACTTAACCAAAGGGGATATGATATACAGGTATATGCTTTTCCTTCTGCATCCCATTCTATTTATGTTACTACTATTAACAACGAAGCTTATTTATTCTGACAAATTTGCACTTTGAAATATTTGAATAAATTGTCAACCAACAAAAATATTCTTGAGCGATGTTTTCAGACTTAAATTCAATCACTCGCTCCACCTAGAGCAGGCCCATTGAATCACTAGGATTTATGTATTGACTTACCATTCAGCAAGTGACTTCATGGGTCAACTGTAGAGGAAGCTAGTAAATGGATTGAAGCCATGGTCTCCTCAACAAAATATGCTTTTAATTTTTCAATTTTATTATTGTTTACTCTTTCCACTATATAAGTTTTCCTCCAATTATCCTTCAATTATCTCCTTCCAATTCTTTTTCAAAAATTTTGTGATGTAGAATTTAGAACTCATGACAGCGAAACGATTGAGAGCCATGAAATAAAGCCATCTTTCTCAATAGGGGATGTGAATGTAGGCATCTACAAAACATTGCTGAAGATATGTAGTATCCTTTCCTATGGAGACAGGGTAATTTGACTGTCTTTTTTAAAAAAACAAAATAAACTCTTGACACTTTTTCTAAAGAAATGACACAAGCTGCAATCAAACAAATCCAAAGTCTAAAAAGCTGTTTTAATGGCTTGAATTTGCTAAAATTCTGTCAAGGGCACTGATGAAAAGAATGTTCATCTTATTCTAGAAAGCCAAAAGAATAATCGGTTGAATTTGACTCATCTAACTAAGTGCTGAGGCAAGTGACTGATCAACACTCATACAGACATGGATGATTAGAAGATTGATAATACTGTGTAGGCCAGAAGTAGACAGCCTATAGCTTTTTGGGTCTACTTGGTTTTTCACTTAAACTTCCAGTTCTATCATCCAGAGCTAGATGCAAAAGACACAGGCTCTGGTCACTACTGGCACTGGACTTCAGTAGAATGTTGGCTTATTTGAGGGTGAGCTAGCAGGAGGCCTTCCACTTTGTCTCCTCGTTTTTGTAACAGGAACAGCTAAGCAAACCACAGATTTTTGGTCCACTAGCTAGGATAGAGACTGGTGCGACATTCCACCATCACAAGAAACAAAACATGGTCTGAAACCAATGATTTGTTAATTGTTCTTGCTAGAAGTGAAAACAACTGTAAGTGGAAGCCAGCATACTGGATCAAATGTGGTAAGCCAGGGTTCCTGTGGAACCATGAATTAGTTTGAATACATCCATGAAATTGGAATTAAGATGGAGGTCCTTTGAGAATTCTCTGAAGATGGAACAGAGTAGAAAGAAAGCCTAAGGGCCATCTAATCCAATTTGCTGATTGATTGATTGATTGATTGACTGATTGATTAATTGATTAGATAGATAGATAGATAGATAGATAGATAGATAGATAGATAGATAGATAGATAGATAGATAGATAGATAGATAGATAGATAGATAGATAGATAGATAGATAGATAGATAGATAGATAGATAGATATGTGCCATTCATGGGGGGGGGTTGTTTGTTTGTTTGGATTCCAAATCCCAGAACACTCCATTCTGGGAGGTTCACATGCCAGAGCTAGACCTAAATTGTGCTCACCTGAGTAAAGGCTGAGCTGGAAAGCTTCATGGCCTTGGACAGACTGAGCTCTGGCATAGGCGCATACAGTATTAGAAAAGAAAGTTGCCCCAGTGCTTGCTGGGAGTATTTTTGGAGTCCAAAAAGAAGGAGGAGGAGGAAGGGAGGGGAGGAGAAGAGAGGGGGAAAAATAAGAGAAAAAGGAATGGCAAATCCCTAGCTGACAATATAGGAATCCACAGCAAAAGCTTTCCTGACATTTATTTAAAAGCCACCCGTGAAGAAGAGTTCACTCCCTTCCAAGGTGGTCCATTCCACATCATTTATCATTAGAAAGTTGTTCCTTATGTTTAGTTGTAATCTCCTTTTGTGTACTTTGAATCCATTGGTTCATGTCTTACCATGGATGGCTCATGACCAGGCAGAGGAGTACCTTCACTGCCTTTATCCATGAGCTACCTGTGGGTCCTACCCTACAGAGCAACAGAAAACAAGCTTTCTCCATCTTCCATGTGACAGTCATTCAGATATTTGAAGATGGCTATCATATTGCCTCCCAATTTTCTCTTTTACAGGCTAAACCTAGCACTCTCAATAGTTCCCCACAGAGCATGATTTCCACAATTTTTATCATTTTGGTTGCCATCCTCTGGACATGTTCTGACTTCTCATCCAGCTTAAATTGTATACAGAACTGGAGGTAGCAACAGTAATGCAGTATTATATTTGGAGTCATATGTTCTCCGTTATTAGTGCTAGATAACCACGTATTCTTTTCATCCCCAGGATAAAAGATTATGCAATACATACGCTCAAACTTTATATTGCGTAGGTTTTCTGGCAAGTCATGCAGAGCTACTTTTAGCCACTCATCCAGCTGTTTGGCAAACTTGCGAATCACCTGAGTCAAGCTGAAAAGGAAAGCACTACTTCAGAAGCTTAGGTGGAAACTTCAGTTTGCATTCATGCCTGCAAGCCGGAAAAATCAATGGCTTGCTTCATTCACCCTTAGCTTGCACTTGAGTCTTTGATTTTGCAAGATAAAGAACTGTAGATTTTCCTGCAATCCTCTCTTACTTAGGCGTATGCGTATTCATAGCACAATCCTAGTTATGTTTCTTCAGAAATAAATCTCATTTACTTCACAAATATGCATGCATAGTGTTGTACTCAGAATATGCTATAAAATAGTCTACAGTATGGAACATGAAATGTACACTGGAAAAAACAAAACAAAATACATACCAGTGTTTTCGAGGGCTGAATCTAAGATCTATATTTACATCTTTTTTTAAAATAAGCCAGTAAAGAAAGATGGAAAATAAGATACAAAATGATAATTCTGTAGAGCAGCAATCCATTCAATGATGATATGTATTCTCAATAGAGATGGCACAGATGTATGTACCACCCATTACTACAATTCTTCTAATAATTAGATAGTATGCTAGGCTTAGAAAATACATTTATTCTGCAAGCTTGTAATAGTCTTTACTTTAATTTTCATATATTTCCTTTCCACCACCTTCCAAATTTAGTTAACTGCAGTTGGGTAAGGCTACTAAAAATTCATTCTTGCCTATCCCCCACCCCTCACATAGCTAGGGGAGGCTAGTTGATCTTTTCATTCATGTCAGCTTAGCTGCCTTGATGGCCACAATACAGCTTGACAAGAAGTTTTCAAACCTAGCAGATTCTTCGCCTCCAGGTAAGAGAGGAAGGCAAGGAGTACTCTTTTTCCTTATCAAGATCTCCATTGTTTGTGCAAACTGTCACCTGAATGCAGAATCAGTGCTCTTTCTTTTTAGAAGCCAAGCACACCCAGAGAACAAAACAAAAAAAAAGATACAAACAGCCCCTCCACTGCTTCATATTTTTAAAGTCTAACAAAAATAAAGCAGCTACTATTGTCATTGATGCATTTTGCTTTATTTATGCTAAAGCACTATATATACTAAAATATTATTTTCACAATTTTGCTTAATTTACATGTTCTTTTTTCTCCTCCCACCAAAAGCACCAAGACAAGAATAGAATGATGTTGAGACAGGTGAGAATTTACTTCCCTACACAGAATTCTAATTAATATGCTAATGTAAAATGTGAGCGTAAAATCCAACTGGGGATAATATACTATGAGGAGGTGATTTGGAGCAGGAAAAAAGTTACTGTGGGAAAAATCTACTAAAACACTTTCCCCACATGCTTTACCTGTGTTGCTGATCACCTAGAAGAAAAACTGGCTTTTGCTGACTAAAATGGGCTTCTGGGCTATCTTAATTACAATGTTTGTATACAATGTGTAAATTGGCCCCATGATCATTGGACAAAGAGCTTGTTATCTGCATCAGATTGGCAGTGAAAGAATGGAGATGAATTAGAGGATCCAGTATCCAGACAGCAGAAAAGAAGTAGAATGTATTTTAATTAGAAAGAGACAGTATAGAAGAAGTTAGGCTGTATCAGAGATTTGATGGAAGACAGAAATGTTGCATCATAAACAGGAAAATATAGATTATTCCAGCTGCAAAGTAGGCATGCCTGAATTGAGAAAAGTATGAATGGAGGTGGGCAATACAGATATGAAGGTAAAAAGTATTTAAAATATGAAATCACCTTGTTTTAAAACTGACCCAGAATTAGAATCCTGTGTCTTCTTGACTGTGCTTTATTTTGTTCCAAAATGAATGACTTTTACTTTTTATTTACATTTTCTTTGAAATCATAGCAAAATCTGGAACAATTTGCTACATCCATTTGAGTATTGATATGTAATAATCATGCCAATGTAATCTGTAAATGTCAGCTTACCTTCCATAAGAATACACCTTTGAGCTTTGTGTAAGGGGCAGATACATTTGTGTGAATATGCACAGATACACAGGAAGGGGAAATTACCTTTTAGTGACTACAAGTCTTAAAATGCCATAGCCAACATGGCCACTGCCATATTGGCTGTGGGGTTCTGATTGCTGCATCAGCCTGTAGAAAAACATTAATCTCGTAAAATATACTCACCTATCAGGTAATGCTTGCAACACTGTAGGCATCAAGACTCCAGAAATAGCTTTATATAATATTGAGTCACAAACTCCAACTATATTTACTACAGTGGAAGAACCCAGCACTGGAAGCATGTGAGGTGGCATCCCTTGCCAGAAGTGCAGAAGAAAACTTTGAACCTAGAAATGTGCAAAACACACAAATTTTATATTTGGAAGAAATGATTGAAATGTTTAATATTTCTATTGCCTCCATTTGTCAGAGCAGGTATGGACAACCTGGTCTAACTCCACAATCCCATGTCAAATGAACAGAGCAGGTATGGACAACCTGTTGCTCGAGGTCGCATGGAGCCCTTGGTCTAACTCCACAATCCCATGTCAAATGCTGAAATCTGTGACAAAAGCAATTCCTTGAGGTCCCAGTTGATGAGAAAGAAAGGAGATAAAGAAGGGGGTAGAAGGAAGAAAGAGAAAAAGAAAAGTGAGAAAATGGCCTGCCCACTTTTTCCTCCAACTTACCATCTACAATTGGCCTCGACCCATGACAATTAACAAAGTGTAGTAACTTCAGTTTCACCAGCAATAGTCAGGATACATAAGCATAAAGCACAGTTAGCTGCCATCTGTCAAGTCAAAACAATGTTTGAAAACCATCCACACTGATTGTCAGGAACTCTCCAGGTTTCCAGACAGAGTACACCTGTTAAATCCAACTTAGAGGTTATTAGGCGCTCCTCGGTGGTCTGGGAGAGGGGATAAAAACCTCTCATCTTATATAGATGGCACCAGGCTCAGAATCTTGATCTTGCCCATTTACTAAGTATTTTAGAAAATCATGATCTTTGAGAAAGTATGTTGGTACTCACAGACAGATATTGGTGACCTGACCTGCTATTCCAGCAGGATAACTTTTTGTTATTGTTTTTTTTTACCTCTCTCGCAAGTTGAGCTCATTTGAGCATTAGCCTTCCTGATCTTCTCTCTACCATTATTGATTATTTGTTGGTACTTTTTCTTGGTGATATGCCCTTCCTTCAATTTCTTATGCATGCCACTTTTAAATCTTGGCTCATCTGAAAATCCTTATGCAGATACATTGGTTTCTTTAGGTGTCTTCCACTTTTCATAAGAATTCTGTGACTGTGACTTTAGTATCTCATCCTTAATAAACTCCCATCCATCATGGCATTGTTTCTCTTTGAGTATTTCTGATCAAGAGAGATAACTCAGTATTTCTTTAAACTTACTGAAACCAGCTTTCCTAATGTACAGAGTGCATTCTATTTTGTTCTCATCTTTCCCTTTTGCTCTTTTGAACAAGTCCCAAGAGGCTACGGTCACTTCCACCTCAGGTTCCCACGTTTCATCTTGTTGACCAGTTCTTTCCTGTATGTCAGGATCAAATCAAGAATAGCTGATCCTTTTTGTTCCTTATTCTGTCTTCAGATAGATGAAGTTGTCAGTACAAGTGAGGAAATTGTTGGACCTTAGAGTCTTGGCAGAGTTGGACTTCCAGAAAGTACGACAGTAGTTGAAGTCTCACATTATTACTATGTTTCTCCTCTTTGATGTAGAAGGGCATTACCCAAATCATCAGTCTGGTCTGGAGGTCTGTAGCAGACCCAACAGTGATGTCACTGCTGTTTCCCCCTCTCCTTTGATTTGTACCCATATGGTCTCCACCAGTGTTCCAGGACTTTTGATGAAGTTTCTTCAGAACATCTTACTTTTATTTTGTGACTGATCATCAAGAAGTAAACATCATGGTTCATCTGCAAGTTGACTGTGCAAACACAGCTGCTTTGAAGGAATGTGAATCTGGACAAATAATATTTTATTGCCTTCAGCTTGTGAAGCAGGCATCTTGTATAGTTTGGCCTTGGTCCACTGTTTACTCTACATCATAGATGTCACAACTTCTGTGACTTGAGATGTCTTGGTCTGTAACTATCTTAAACAATAGGGTACTATTTGTACCCGTATGTTCTCCACAGGAGTACAACAGTGGCCCATGGAGCACCAGGTAAGAAACGGGTACAAATTCTGTAGCTGAGGAATAAGGCATCTCTTCCATTGGCACCTATACTTGTCTATCAGAATGTCTTCCTCAGCCACTGTTTTAAATGAAACCAAACTGATAGCTTCCTGTCTGTTGCAGAATCCATACTCCTCTCGATATTTAAGCTCCTTGAGCAAGTGAATATTCTGAACTAGCACAGCAGCTAAGCCAGTCAATATCAGAGGCTTCACCACCAGCCTGAAATGCAGTACAACACAAAACAATTACTTTTGCTTCTGGACATATTTCTGTTTCTCTACAAACCTCATCAAAGTTGGCTCTTATCACAGTGTCAAGTATCCTCTGACAGTGCGTTCTGTACATCATGATAAAAGTAGATACCTAGCAAGGAGAAAAAGATAAATTATTTTAAAAAGAGGCATCCATTTATATTTGTTTTCCCCTATCATCTTAATATCTAGGCACAAACCTAAGTAAGGGAAGTGACATAAAGGAAAAGAATTAACCCACTGTCCCATGGCCTTGATCTCATTTTCTTGCAGCTGTTTTCATTAAAGGGAATGATTTGACATATTTTAAAATTAGTAATAAATGGCCATCCTGTGGCAAGCAAGTTGAACAACACAACATTCAATAGAAGCAGTAATTACCAAAACAAATTGTACTGCCCAGACTTTAAGAAAAGGTCAAAGAAAACTGATGGATCTTCAGTGCCTTACCAAAGGCTCGCAAAGAAGCTTGATGAACCTGCAATGGAACCGTTTTCCTGAAATGTGGAGCCATTACTGAAAACGTAATAACCTTTGGCAGAAGGGGAAGTTGGGATAGCTTAGTCATTGGAGTGTTTTGCAAGAAGTTCAAAAGAAGTGCATGTTGCTTATGTGCCCTGCCACGTGTACAGCTTTGGGTAAGCCATGATTCTAAAGCACCGTCTGAAAACCACATCTGAGTGTTTAATACCTAGAAATCCCAGGGAGAATCAACTTAAGTAGGAATTGCTTCAGCAGCAGATCATTATTATTAATTAGGAATGGCCTCTCTAGATCACTTTAGGGGGCTGGCAGGTTCCTATGTGGTCTTTGAAGAGTTAGTTCTCCCACATCATGTCTATTTTAACCGTTTAAAAGCAAAAAGAAAAATGCTCTCATATACAGTCTGCAAGACCAATACCTTAAGCTGCAGGGAGGAATACTTGTTCCTGGTACAGTAAGCAATTAAGTGCCACATAAATAAAGCCAGAGCATTCTAAACCCAGTCTTCTGAAGAAGTGGTTTTTTTTTTCATACATTAGGTCAACCTTTCACCAAGGAAGGAAAAGCAAAAAACAGGGCAAGAGAATGGATAATTCACTACAGTCACCTTCTCCTCTGGCAGGCTGGCTGGCAGATTTAGATCTTTGACATTTGGAAACTCTGGCAGCAATGTCCCAAGTTTGGATCGTGGTGAATACGCCACTGTCTGTTTGGTTACTTCTTTTTTTCCTGTTTCATTGACCCAAGCTGCTCCTTTCTTAGAATACATCACGTCATAATACTGCGAACTCTCTTTTACTGCAATGCCATAGTAATGGTACCTGAAATGTTAAAATAAACATTTATTTGCCTTTTCTTAAAAAATAGAAGAATGTTATTCAGTCAGTAGAGTTCAAGGGGAGATTGTTAACAGATTTTGTACCAGTTTACACGTGAATGCATGACTGTGAATCCAGTAATAGAATATAATTGCTAAATGCCAAGCTGTTAACAAGCTTCAGTCCAGCTAAGCAGCATTCTAAGACCAGGGCTGCATTCTGCTTCCTGCATGAGGAAGTTCCTTGTCCAGATGTAAAGCTGTGTACAAAGCTCTACTGACTTTTCTTTTGTTCCTAATCGTACCGTCTATAAATTAACACATAATAGTCACATAATGTCACATAATGTGACTTGCTCTTATCTATTTTGAACAATTGATGTCCTGCCTTATTTCTGAAGAATTTTAGTCCTCACAGTAGTTTCCAATGATTCAGTAATTTAAAAATTAAAAACATATTCCCAATTCAGAACCAGCAAACTATAGCACAACACCAAGCAAAGGCCAAAATCCTGTTGCTCAGCACAGTAAAATGCACCAAGGTAGGCTCATTTAATCAATGGAGATTTGGTGAGTCAACTTCTCCTTTACAGTAGTTGCCATTAGAACAGGCCCATTAGACTCAATGGGACTTATAGAGGAGCTGACTTACTAAATCCCCATTGATTCACTGGGTCTACTCTAGTGTGATTTGGTTTGTGAAGCAACAGGATTTTGACCAAAATATTTAAAATATGCAGAAAAAATAGATAACCAATTAAAAGATCAAATTCATATTATATATACAAAGTCTTTCATAGCTAGCCCAAAACATTTTCCTTCAAGAGTCACAGAACTGAGTGAAGCCCCCACCTATCTATTTTAAGGTGCATATTATCCAGTGTCAGCCAACGGATTTCAGTACGCAAGGCAGAAAATCCAAAAACATCTTTGCCCATTGTTGGCAAAGGATTTAGCAAAGTAAATCATGAGTCATTTGCTGCACACACCTGCTGCTTAATGATAGGGTTGGCCTGATGGCCTCCTAATAAGGAAGGCCTTCTACAAGTTTTGCCAGCTCATTACCTGAAGCACCTCACAAGTCCTCTGTGGTGGTTAGGCACTGTGTTAAACAGCAGGGGCCATTTTTCACCCACAGGTCTTGCCGGGAACTGCAATCAGAGGGCTGCACCACAGCTTCTAGGTGTCCATCTTGACTATAACTAGGAACAGTCCCTGTGATAGTTTTTGCTTTTGGTAATAAAAGCCATTGAATGCTATTTGTTTATTTATTTCCTATATATCTCACCGCCCTCGCAATGCAGGGACACTAGAAATGAACAGAAGTTGGAAACTCAGTTAGCACCTTATCAGGGTGCCTCAAGAAGTGAAGGTGGTGGCAGAAACACTACAAATGCAGCTGCTGCTTTCTCCTGGTGTCGACACATCGCAGGGGAGCGGATAACTGTTTCTGGCAAAATTCAATGGCATCATCATTCACAGTTGTACCAGATGCTGCTTTCCATTTAGCAGCATACACTTAGCATAGTTCTGAAACAGCAGCTGTGGTGAAACTGTAGCTGACTCCCAATGCTCTCCCCTCTCCTATTCAGCCCACCAATGAGTCTTAGCACAAACCTATGGATGTACATATGAAAATATAAAATGAGAGAAATACACATCAGGACATTGTGAGCAGCTGCAGTTCTCCTGGGCAGGGCTGGCCTAAGATATTTTGCTGTCTGAGGCAAAGGACAAGATGGTGGCTCCATGCTGCCTGTTCCATGTTTATAATACAAATGATTTGGCAGCTGAACCTTACAATGGGAAAATTTCTTCCACCATACCTGGGAATAATTGGCTAGTTTTGGAGATTCAGGGAAAATAGTCAGCAGATGTTCAGCATTCATTGGCTCAGTTGAATTTCTCAATGTGCTTAATGATAGGGCGAATGTTGCTGTTGAGATTTGATGCAATAAAAAACCAAATTTACCCAGATGGGCCAGAGAGAAAGGCTGGATTCTTGTTGTTTTGTGTAATAAAAGCCGTAACTTTCACTCCACCTTAGCTGGACAGCAAAGAGTTGCCTCTGTGATTTTCCAAACACGTGTGCCTGCTGGCTTGGTGTGTGCTCCAGAATCCCAGCAAGGACTCTTTACTTACCTGCTAGGAAGGAGTGAAAGTTACATCTTTTGTTATGCAAAGCAATAGGATTTCAGCCAACATGCTGGAAAAACCTGTTTTCTTTCTTGCATTTCATCCATCTGTTAAAGCAAAAGAACAGTTCAGAGCAGAAGCAATTTAGTATGATGCTGGCATAGCTTCACTGCAGAACAAAAGGGACTACACTATGTAGTTATAACAGTCTTACAGCTTTAACTGTCATGGCTCCATCCTATGGAATCATAGGCTCTGTAGTTTGGCAAGTGCAGGATGGAGCTATTTCTGTAGTTATACAAAACTGCTGTAACTGTGTAGTAGATATATATTTTGCATTCTGCCAAGCTTCAAGATGATGAGACACACACAGCTGTCCTTCCTTCCCTCTACATGGTTAGAAGCTTCAAACAAGACCATTTGTAAGGAAGCAAGAAAAACGTGCTTGTCAGATATTGATTGGCATATGAAGCAACATAATGACATAATGAATAGACAATTTTCAAGGGCTTACAACATCCATGTATGATAAGCCACCAGTGGAAATGAGCATGAATCAGAAAAACGGTGATTTATTTCCATTCATGATTCATTACGTTTGATTCATGAATAACAAATTTATGAATGTTTTTCTGACAAATCGATAAATCAACTCATTGTATTTATTTTGTGTTTAAAACCCCATAAAATTCCCCCTAGGCATCTAGAAACACCATCATTGCAGAGAAGCTTCCCCTAACACTTTTCTTCAAGCTCTGCAAATTTGATGAAGTTTGGATTTCATATGTCCAAGTAATACACCTACAAAGAGCCCCCCCAGGAAAGTTTCCCCCAGGCACCTAGAAACACAAAAACATCAGAGAGGTTTCTTCCAACTCTCCTATACTATCCCTCCACATTTGGTAAAGACTGGGTGTTTCAGACATGCAAATTATGCACCCACAAAGCGGATCCCCCTCCAGGAAAGTGCCCTTTAGCAGCTGGCTTATGGGAAACCCAGTCTTCACCAATCTCGGAGGGTTTGTAAAAGAGAGTCAGGGGAAACTTCTATGCCATTTTGGCGTCTCTAGGTGCCGGGGGGGGCATTTTATACCCCAACCAATCCACAAATAAAAAAATACCTAAACATTCATTGATTTGTAAAAAAAAATACCTAAACATTCATTGATTTGTATTTGTCAGGCCATCGCTTTGGACAGATAGAAATCAATGACTTAGCGATTTTGCAATTTGTTTTTTAATTTGTGCCCATCTCTACCCACCAGCCTACAGGTTTGCTAGGTCACAGTCCTAAGTGTATGTGTCCATAGCAGAAAGAGCCAGATCCTCTCACCTGTTAGATCTTTGCTCCTATCAAATGTTTTTAGTTCCCCCATACCACATGATGTAACAATCCAGGACTCTAGGATTACCAGAGTTGGCAGAAAGGGATGGATCATAAAACCAAGCTGGAAAAGCTATATCAGAGCTTGGAGAAGATGCCTATTCTGAACTACAGTTCCCAGTATCTCCCAACCAGCACGACCAAAAGTAGGTTTTTTCCCCAAGCTGCCCCTTCTCTTCCTTCAGCTGCATTGGGGAAGTTTGAAGGTGCACATGGGCTATGCAGTGGTGAAGTGGAACTAGAGTTCGTGGAGTTGAAGCTCTCAGACCTTCTGTGTAACAGGGATTATGGTATCACCTGCCCCAGGTTTCTCTGTTCAGTTGCAGTCCCCACAGTAGCTGGGAAAGAAATGGATTCAATGGGACAGTATATTGTTGCAAGCTATGCCTATCATAAATACATGTTTGAAGATGGTTTTGTCTTGGGTAGGCAAGGTAGCAGCTGATGAATTTTATAAAATATTAGAAACACCCCATTTCAAGCAGAAATAAAAAATGCTATAATTCATTTGTTGATATGTATCAATCTTGCCACTTGTCCTTGGGTAAGGGAACATCAGCTATTGGAACTCTCATGATGACCACCTGTACTTCCACATTTACCACCCAATCCCTGCTGTGATCCAGGTTCTGATTCTCAGCTACCTTCTCCTCCTTAAACATGCAAGAATCAATGCTTGGGAAGGTTAATATTTTAGACTTTAACATCAAGAATACCCAGCGAGCATTGAGAGTGATTATGCTTTCTTTAGGATTCAGGAAGTTATAGTCAAAAAATGTAACATTTCTGGTATTCCTTCTGTGATTAGAGTCCAAGCTGGCCCAGTTCAACAGAAGACAGCGCTTCTGTACCTTGAATATAGATGTGGAGAAAAGAAAATTTTGGTTCTGTCTGAAACGGGAGGTCAACAGAAACAGTTGTCATAAATAAGTCATTACTAGAGCCAAAAACAGACTAGCATGGAAAAGACCACAACTGGGACATTCATGTTTGAGGGGAAAAGGCATATAAAGGAAGAACGTGCTTATACTTTGAATACACCTAGAGAGGGGGGAAAATGTCTGCTATGCACTCAGATACTTTCAGCTGTTAAGGAATTATTCCTTCTGATCACGGGCTATCTGTAATATTTGCTTCGGACACAACCTCTTTTATGCAAATGATACAAGGGTAACAAACAGTTCTCATGTGCATTTGGTTACTCTGCATCAGAATCTCAGTATTCTTTTGATTCTCCAGAACAAATTATGTGGAGCAAGGGATAACAGCACAACATATTAGACCTATGAATTATTAAATATTTTTAAAACTTCCTGCTGACCCTAGCCTCTTCACATAATGAGACAATTTCCAACAATCATGTTACAGAAAGTCCCCCAGTGAATGTTCTATGTCATACTTAGCCTTTCCGTGATTAGGAAACACACATTATTGCTTACTTTGACTGGCCTCTCGTTCCAAGTCTTCTTGTTGTTAACTGTGGAAACTGTTGCCTTATTATCTGAAAATAATGTTCACACATTAACAAGTTTTTAAAAATTAGACTCTTTTTCAAATAAGGTTTATTTAACATTCATGTATCTGGAATGGTCATTTAAATTCTGCAAAGTTAGCTTTGTCATGGAATCCAGACAGACAATATTGCCTTTCTAGACCATTCTACAACCTGAAGTGTTGTAAATGATGCCCCCTGAATGAATAGGTTCTTTCAAGGGGGCAGGAGTTATAGACAAAAAATTGTCTGGGGAAAAGCATCCTAACACATCTTTTGATTGTTTCCAATCCAGTACTTTTTGACAAACGTAATGTACTACGAATGAATGAATGATCCCATATCATCTTTTGGCAAAGCATGATGCTGAGAGGCAGAATCCTCTGGTTGTCAGTAGATTGGCCTAATCGGTGGGGCTTCTGGAATTTTCAGAGGTTCAAGAAATATAAGAAGTGTACATTAAACCCACCCCCTAACCACAGTGCCAAACTTGATGCTGACTAGAATTCCACTGGGGTCAGAAAATACGTATCCCAGAAGCCACTCCATGCAAGGTCTGAGGATTTGTTTTTCATTTTAACCCTGGTATATAAATTTTTTTTTTTAAGGATTTTTTTGAGAAAAGTCAAAACCAAGATCTCAGAATCTGGAAAGGTAAAATCACAGTTGTAGAGTCAGATCACATGACTACGCACTCACAGACTATAGCATATAGAGCTGAAACCCCTTGCCTTCGATATTGGGTGATGCTTTTAAAAGTACATGCCATACTTGTTGGGTAGAAGACCTTCCCATTTATTAACAGTTTAGAAATATGCTGAAGACTCTGCTTTGGATCTCTTCACTAACCAAAGTATTATAGGAAGTCATCTAAAACTGAGGCTTTTTCACATTGGCCTCAAAGTTCTGCAACTCTTTTTTAGGAGAGGTATGTACTGCTCCTTCTCGGTTTCCACATAGGGGTGCTCCGAACAACGAAGATGGTCCCACAGCAGGGGTGTCTCACCCAATCCCCTTTGTGTTGGGTCACTCCAGTGGGGATAGGCTCCGGACACACCACCTTTTTCCAGGGGTCCTCCCCCCTTGGGTAAACGTACACTGTCCATTCTAACAGATCCAACTCTCGCAATTGTACGTATATCCTTATTGGAACTGGTCCTAGAAGAGATTTCCCTCCTTTCTCAAACCCTTTATCTTCCCTCTTGAGTACATCAAACACATATGGCTTTTGCTCGCTCTTTTCTCCTTCCCTTTCCTTCCTCTTTGCCTCCTCCTTCTCCTCCTCAACTGCTGCTAAAACTCGCCAACAAACCCCAGCTCCTTCTTATTCCTGCCTTTTCCTCCCACTCTTCTGTTACTAGAAAACCTTCCACCATTGGTTATCTTACTCCTGCTCTTTTTTTCACCTCTCCTTCAGCAGCTTGAACCTCCCCCAAAGTCATATTTTGAATCCCAGCCTGTATATCACTTGACTCTTTGTTGATTCTTTCTGCCTGAGACAATGGATGGGACAGCTCACTTTGAAGTTTAATCTCCATAATCGGTTCTTCTTCACACTCACCTTAATGTAGTAAGTCACAGTCAGACTACAACAATCTGAATCAATAGAACTGATGGAGGAGCTCACTCACTAGATTCTGATTGATTCGACAGCCTACTCAACTGCAATTTACTCCACTAAGCAACAGGATTTTGGCCACATGCGTTTCTTCTGTTCTCTCTAAAATGGTTCTAGTTGTTGCATTTTCCCATATCTGAATAAAATCTCATCCATTATTATTGAAGATACGACAAAAGAAAGAATAAAGCAGATTTTCTTTAAACAGAATGCTCCTTCAATTTACTGAAAGCATTAAATTGCAGGAATATCTGTCCAATTAAATTTGATCTGGCAGGATTATAGATAAGAAGTGGGCCATATAAATAACACTGGAAAAAACAAGACCAAAAACCCAATGGTGTATTCCAATAAGATTTGTCAGTCTTGAAAAGTCATGCATTCTGTGTTTCAAACTGAGAAAATTAAAAGTACAAAATTAAACCACAAGTAATTTATTGTGTTTTTAAAGTTAAATCTACTGTTTAAATGTACATTAAGTCCATCGTGTGTCTCTCAAGAGAGAAAGGCAAGAGACAAACAAACAAACAAGTTTCCTAAACTGTTCATTTTGATTTCTCCAGCAGAGTTGTTAGTTTGAAACACATGGGAATGCAGTTTGGTGCAACTGCTTAAAGATAGTGTTTTACATACAATGATTTTTCTGACTCTCTTTCTGTCTCAAACTCTGTAACAGTATTGTTTCATTCATTGACTGACAACCCCAAGTTCTGTGAAGTAACTTTGGGTCAGTGCTGCTTTATGGAAAAATGACAACATCTCACATTTACTATTTACATACAATTCCTCTTTACTCTGTAATAACAAGAGATCAACTTGCCCTAACTCATGATGACCCATGCAAAGGAAGAGGAAAGAGAGATTTCACTAGCCATTCTGGTTTAATTTTTGGAGCAAAGTGGGGAGAGGAAATCAGCAAACAGAAATACACTTTTGTGGAGCTGTGAAAGTTCAGCCTAGCTATTTGATAAATGAGCAGACAGGCAAGCAGCCTCTCTTTCTATCTCCCCCCCCCCATCTTTTTGTACAGATTCAATGAAGCCTACCTAAAGAACACCACATGCTGTTCCAGCTACTGATCTAACATTCCGCAACATCTCAGCCTTCCAAATTCTCTTTAATTACAGATTAAACCCACTCCTCTCTCTTTCAGTTTGTGCAGACAGGGATGGGGGCTCCAAGGGGCTGTGGGAAAAAAGGTGTTTTCTGGGCTTTGGGGTGTGTGTGTGTGTGTGTGTGTGTGTGTGTGTGTGTGTGTGTGTGTGTGTGTGTGTGTGTGCGTGCGCGCGCGCACTGTTGTCATTCAGAGACTATGGCTCCACTCTCCCAAATAGGGTATTTCCTCAACAGACCCAGGACAAAAATGAAACATCCCAGTTTACTCTTTGTTTCAGAACCACGACATACAAATAAACAAAAATAACAAGTTCCTTTGCCAATTAAATATGAAATCACGCCTTTACTTAATGGTAGTTTGGTCTTACCAAATAAACTGATATTTTATCAAAGCATAAAGACTGAATCTGTGCATCCTTAGAGACTTTGCAGATTATAATAAAACCTGGCTCCTTATTAATGCTATGCTTTGGCTAACCACAATTCAGCACCAATAGCACTAACCAGTTCTTCCCACATAACAAGGTCCCTGACAGAACCGATTAAAAGTTCATATACTTTGGCACTCAATTTTCCATCATAGGTAATGTGAAGCCTGCAAAGTATAAAGGCTATGGTGTTTTGTTATCACTTGTCGTTTCATATCTAGTCTTCAGTGACATATTACCTCTGGATCACAACCCTGACTCAGGCTCAGAGAAGGACAACTGAAAAAAGCAGCCGGCTGAAGAGCAGGAACAGGTTTGTGAACTGAGGGGGAAACCACATTGGCCATTTGCCTTGCAGCTTGCATCCCATTTGGCATGGACAAAATCAAATTGAAAACTGGAAACTACACAATGTAAAGCTAAGCCGAGGGTAGCCCAGTATGGAATCATCTGTCTCTTAGTGGAGATGGTAGAGGTATCTTGCTCCAATTCAACTGGCATCACTTTTCTACAGTTCCTGCACTGTGTGATTGACTGATCTGATGCAAAGGGGTGGGGGACAGGAGTATCAGTTCCTCTCAGCTGAGCACCTGTTGTTTTCAAACAGTATTTCTTTTTTATATAAAAAATTTGATTTCAAATTACAGTAGGGCTAATTCAGGAAATCACTATGTCACCTCAGAAAACTATTTTTAAAATTTATAAAATTACAACAGCTCTGCTCATTCCAGCGACAAGACAGAGACCACAAGAGAGGGCAACAGAGTGGTAAAGTGGTTGTTCTCCTTGATCTTTTTGATAACCCTGCTGCTCCCCGAGAACAGAGGGTGCTAACAGTCCTAGCAGCTGTCACCTCCCTCCCAAATGTTGCCTTTGGAGAACCCCAAGACCACTAAAAGGGACAGGTAGTCAGGACAGGTCACACGTGTGTGCAAGAACCCAAGAAACAAATTGCAAAAAGGGGCAAGGAGATGGGCTCAGTCCAAAGGAGAATGTGATGGGTAAGGTAAAGGTAAAGGTTCCCCTTGACATTTAGTCCAGTTGTGTCCAACTCTAGGGCACAATGCTCACGCCCGTTTTCAATCCATAGAGCCAGTGTTTGTCTGAAGACAGTTTCCGTGGTCACGTGGCCAGCGCGACTAGACACGGAACGCCCTTACCTTCCCACCGTGGGGGTACCTGTTTATCTACTCGCATTTACATGCTTTCGAACTGCTAGGTTGGCAGGAGCTGGGACAAGCGACGGGAGCTCACTCCATCGCATGGATTTGATCTTACGACTGCTGGTCTTCTGACCTTGCAGCACAGAGGCTTCTGCAGTTTAACGTGTAGCGCTACCACGTGCCCAAATGTGATGGGACCGTTGCTCTAATCCAGAGAGGGGGCAGGCCAGAGGGTAGTGGTCTGGAATGCCATGCACTAGCTGGTTCCTTGCATAACCCACACCCGATGCTCTCTCCTGCCCACTGCTGGTGCTGCTTGGAGCTTGAAGAAGGGAGAGATGAGTGAGGGGCTGCTGAGAAATTCAAGTGACAAGTTGTAAGATTCCCATTTACCCAACGCAGTGCACTTTGACACTCTATTTTCCATATGAACCTCTGCAGCAATTTCAATTGTTGAAGCCTGCCAGTAAAGTGGTGTAGAAAACACTAAATCAAGTTGAATTAACTCCCTAGAGTAGTTGCATCCTGATCCGGAACATACCAAACTACAGCCCCCAAATCACAGTTAGGACACGCACAAGCACCTCCCCAAGAGCAGCCGAGTGCTCTCTGCCCTCATGCAACAACACATGATGAAGGAAGATCACCAAGCACAGAACACACATCCATCTGTAGGCCAGGTATTTGTCTCTTTAGAAGATGGTTGTCTTTTCTTTTCTAGCAAGGGGTTAGATCTCATAAGGGGTGAGTGGAACACAAGGCCTCAAGTCCACTTCAATTCCTCTTGCAACACACTGTTCACTTATAGCTTTGTGTGGTGCTGCAACCAACAGCATGCTTAATTTGCTTGCTCTCTTATCTCAGAGGACCTGAATACAGCTGGATCAGAACACTCTGAATTTAGAGTTAGCTACAGTGGTTAGGAGGTATTGGTTGACTGTCTTATACAAATTTGTCTGCTATAATTTTAATGCCATCTAATGGACAAATCAGATGTATGCACGTGTGTTCAATGGTTTGTCTATGAACAGGGGATGGGGAAGGAGTTAACATTTGACAAATAAGGGAACACAAGGGGGAGGGAAGTCTACTACAGTACTTCTCTGCCTAGGTTGTCATCCCCTACTTATTTAAGACGTTTTCCCCCTTTAGTCTGGTTTCAATAACAAAAGTGAGCCAGCAGAGAGAAAATCTCCTAATGCATGGACAAGTAAGATAGCAAGAAGGTGGATTTGGCATCTTTATTTTTCATGCTTCATTTTGTGTGTAGAAGAAACAAAGTAATCCTCACTCCCACTTTATAGCCAAACTGGTAAACACTTGTCTGATAAACATATAAACACCTGGTTTTGAGCCAGCCCTGCATCTATTATAACATCATGTGGCAACGTATCCCAGACACTAATTATATACTGTGCTAACATTTTGTTAATATTTTGTTTGAAAAGTACTTTCTAGATTGGAATAGCAGAGTAACAGACCACTCTTATTCTGAAAAACAAAGCAGGCTACAAATGCCAAGGACATGGGATGGTGATACTTATTTATGACAGAAATGCAGGCATCATCCAGATGCTAGCTTAACCTCATTCTACATAATACGCATATAGGCTGTTTGCTTAGCAATATTTTTTTTAAACAAAGGGGTAGCCATGTAGAGGTAGTGCTGGTTTAAGATAAGTTATTTGGATCTGCCTAAACAAATAAACAAACAACTCAAACTTAACTCTTTCAAAAAATCTCAAAAGCCCATAAGGTATCTTCACCCATTATTCAAATCAGCAGGAATACCTCCACTCAGTATGACGGCAACAGAACAAATTCAGATACATCTGCAAAAGGGGGTTGTGGTCAACAGAGGCTTACGCCAAATAAAACCTGTTAGTCTTTAAAATGCTATAAAACTCCTTGATGCATTTCATTGCAAACTCAACCACAGGTTAATCACAAAAACTATGGTATATCACTACCCAGAAACAGAAGTTTCTGATCTTCAGCAAATGATGGTCTGTTTGTTTTACTTCAGGCTTATATTGTTCCAGGTATGGCTTCAGCTAACCCAGGTGGCTCAGTCAAGTGAGCCATTCAACATACAGCAGGACTAAGGCAGAGGGAGGGAAAATATAAAAGTCTCTCAAATTCAGTGAGGAAAATGTGGAGGAACTACTGTAAGAAGAAAATGGGAGCTGAACAAACATTGGGGAAGAAATAGTTTTGTACAAAAATTCTCAGGTTGTCCATTGCAAAAGACAAAATGTGCATAATTTTTAAAAAGGCAGAAGAGAAGACAGATCTCCACAACCACTGCAAAAACTAATTATTTATGTGTGTGTGATTTTAGAAAATACCATACTTCAAACAGAAGTACAACACATCTTTCCAGAATGAGAAGACTGTCTGCCTGATAAGTCTGCTGTCTGGTGAACATTATTGGTGCCATCTTCAAAGCTCCTGGTCTCTCTTTTGATGGTTCTTTATCTTTAAATAGGACGTGGACTGGTCAGCCCATTCAACTACAGGTAGAAGCCTCCAAAGAGAGGACTGCTCTCTGACAGCCTGTCCAACAGAGGACTGTACTTTGTAAAGTAGGTCTTAGTACTCGCTCAGAAGAGGGAATTTTGTGTAAACTAATAATTTAGTTGGCACAGAAACAAAAGTGATTCCTTACCCAACACAGAGGATGAGATTTTAAAAATACCAGTTTCCAGTCCACAAAGACAACAAACTGACTTCTACATTGGAGAGCTGATTCGGAATAATTTAGCTTTGCTGCAATATGATTCACAGCCTGTATTACATTTGAAATTGCAATCAGTGCTCACACAGGGACTGCAGAATGAATTGGGAGTTCACTATTCATTCTTGTTTGTGATGAAAGTCACATTCCAGTCCGTAGCCCTCCCGCCCTCCCCTTGGTCCTGCCTCTGTTGATCATTTAATGGTTTGCAATGAAGCTGCTTTCTCATTTAAAGCTTCAAGGTATTACATTTTAAAATACTCTTCTATACAGAAATAATGTGGTAAGGTACTTAACATTCTACTAGTACAGAACATCAAAAGTCTGAACAGCAATTTTGCAAAATATATCATAATTCAGAATGATTCCGTAACAGGAATCATCACCACCTTCTCCTTCCCATCTGTTACTCTTTTACCTTACTTTCAAGTAACACATGCTGGAATTGCCTCATCTCTTGTCACACAAGGTTTTAACCTAGATTAACACCATATGTCAACAGACATGAGATAATTCTTGTATGAGTCACCTGAAAGGAAGGGAAAGGAGTAATGGATAGGTGATGGGAAGTGATAGTCTCATATGAAATCATTTTGAGTGTGAATCATGATGTATTTGCAAAATTTCTGTTCAAACTTTTGATGCTCTATATTCTGAGACTGTGAAGTAGCTGTCTATGTTATTTTTCTATAACACACCCCAGAAGAAAAGAGCTATACAAAAGCTATTAGAGAAACTTAGGGTGAAGTTAGATAGGGAAGCTCTGTTGCAGTGGACTGCATTTGAAAAAGTTGCTTTGCTGGGTTTGATGTCCTTTAAAGTGACCCTTCTATGCACACTGAAGGGAGCTCAACTCCAAAATAAAATAAAATAAAATACAAAAGGGTAGCCCCTCCACTGGACCAAAAAGATAATAGCTTGAACCAGACCATGCCACAAGCAGTCCAAAGAAATGAGCTATCGCACTGTCTAGTTGCACTGTGGTCGAAATGACTAGATAGGCGGGGTATAAATACAATAAATAAAAAATAAAATAAATAAAGTGGTTAAAAGCAGGTTATAGGGGATTAATTTGCCTGTAAGAAAAAAAGGGATTGCTCAATGCCCAAGACATCAAGACAACTCTGGTATCCAAATGACAACAAGGCCACAAGTTAGCCTTTTCTCTTGTAATCACTTCCTACAGTTCAAACAGCAGGTGGAAGCTTGTACATCTTAATATATGGGCAAGCAGATGTGGTGCTAATTGATGCTTCAGATACCTTGATATTAAGCCATAAAGGATTTTAATGATCAAGATCAGCAGTTCCATAATCTGGAGGACTGCAGGAGCTGTTAGCTCAACTCATGTGGATAGCAAGAGGTTGGGAGAAGGCAGGAATAAGGAGAGTATATTCCTTATAAAGCCCCTAAATCTCATTTGAATGAAGTTTGTTGCAAGAAACAATATTTACATCTATACCTACCTTTCCGAAACTGGCAGCATTAACAGGCTGTGTGTCATTTTTCTCGCAGAAGTCCAAGTAATGCATGTAGAGGGCACTTCGAGGGATGCAGACTCCTTCTGCAATCTCATAGTTCTCTTCCAACCTTAAAAACAAGGATCAAGCAAAGGAAACTACAAACATGTTGGATGTGTGGTGCTGCAATATGAAGCTCTGGATAGATAGTGACTGACTGCTACATTTTATTTATTTATTATTTATTTAGAATATTTCTATTCTGCCTTTCTACCCAAAAGGACCCACAGTGGGCCTTTAACTTTGGTTAGTTTTTTCTTCAAAAACAGCGAAATGTGCCCTCTGTTCCTCTGCTTCAATTCAATCACCCCTGCTCCTATTTTGCAAAATATGATCATTTCGTACTATTGAAAAGCAGTCAGATCTTTCATGTCATGTACTATCTTGTGCTCAGACTCCCGTAAAATGTCTTGCATTAGGAGGATCACACCACAGTCCTATACTGTCCACTCAGGAGTAATTCCAATTGAATTTATTGAGTTCTAAATGGGATTTATTGCCAAAACAATGAGCATAATTCTGCAAATTAATTAATAAAGCATTCAAACTTTCATAATGAAACACTGGCACATGTTTAATCATAGTCATAAAACATTATTTAGCAGTTTCTTATTACTATATTTTCCAATGTTTTATAGTGAATAAAAAACAACTTGAGTGAAACAAGCTAATTTAAAAATATTATTTTTCTGTCCTCCGTATGCTTTCTTCCCACAAAAGCTTATAGCACAATAAGTCCTGTTTCTTTTTTACAGGTGCAACAAGAGGTAACAAATTAGCAAGTTAAATAAACAAACACAGCTACCCTTCTACAATTTCTTTAACTTATGTTTTGGATTTGTTGGAATTGTTGAACAAGCAGTGCATATGTGTGCTGCTCCTATATCATTTCAAAACTCACAGCTATGCTTCCTCATAGCAGTACAGGCACCAATGACAGACGTTGACTCATCCCTATTGAAACAAGCTAGTGCTGTAGTTATGAAGAACCAGCCTAAGACATTTTGCTGCTTTAAAGGAAAGCAACAAATAACACACACCCAGTTCATTAGCTTCAACCTGCACAAAAACCAAAGCTATCTATGCTATTTTGGTACATGAAAAAGAAAATATAGCAAACACCTCTAATGATGCAAAGTACCAAGAAGGTATTCCTTTTAATGGCAGCCCAAAGCTGCTGCCAGATTTTCCCTAATGGTTTGGCCAGCCATACAGATTAGAACACCATCTATGTCAAAAGAGAAAAGGGGATTTGAACTCAGGCCCTTTATATGATGAACTGGCAGCTTCTACAGGTGTCTAGGGGCCACATCCACCACCCTGGGACCCGGGAGGGCCATCCCGCCTCCCTTGCCTCAAAATGTTTGACTGGAAATGGCCAGTCTAGGGACTGCAATAGGCAATTTTCACATCTACAGCTTATTAAGATGCATACGTAGTTGTCTCATATTAAACATCTGGTCTAAAAAACAAACAAACAAACAAAAAGCCTTTGTAGGCCTAAATAAGGTATGAGAGTCTCCCTATGCCAAGAGGGCATGATTGGCCATTTCACAGCTTTTTTTTCCCAGTTGAAGGGTAGGGAGTCAGGGGTGCTGGGGGCTGCAGAAGAACCCCTGTGGTGCTTTATGCACTTAAGAGCTGCACTTTGCCCGCCTTGCCCTAAATCCTTGCACTAACAAAAGTATTCATTTGATCTTCTTCTTCTTCTTCTTCAGGACAGCACTAACTCCTATGGTAAAGGAACTCCCTGTATATTAGTGGAAGGTAGAGGCATTAGGAACTGAGTGTAGCACCTAGTGATGCATGCATCATCCTAGCTGGGTTGGGGTGTGCTTTTCCTACCAATCTGAAATAGGCTATGCAGGTTTGTCCCCTAATGATGCAAGAGGAGGACTGCATGGTTCAAGTGCTGGGTCATGCTGTGTTTGATGTTGTTGTCTCATGTTCTGGTTTGGGGGCTGAGCCAATGGGAAGGTGAAGAGGAAGAGTGTGCGCGCGTTGTACCACACAGCAATGGCTTGTAACATTCACAAGTAACTTTTGAGGATAGGAAAGAGAGGAACCTGTGACTTACAGTTCATTTTAAAACATTGTAACTGTGGTCTCAGTCCAGTAGCACACTTCTAGATCCAATGCTATCAGAACCAGGATGTTCTCCCTATCCCACAGCACTTCTTCATGGCATCAGAAATCTAGCTCCAGAGAGTTTCCCGGTCATTCTGAAAATATGTTTTAGGGTGTGTTAAGGAGACAATATAGCAAAGTCTACTGGAAGCCATGGGAATCAGCACAGAGACAGCTTTGGAATCTGGACTGTAATGGCAGCTACCACTTGGAGGGCTGACTTGGAATGACTCTTCTTAGGTTAGAACCAAAGGGAGCACAAAACCTGTTTGTTTGTTTTTAAAAAAAGGAAAATACCACCAAAATGACAATAATTGATATTGTAAATTTTATGTTAAATTGATTTTTTTTTAAAAAACAACAAAATAATTTTAAAGATGTGAGACCCAAGGCGAGGCTATAGAAGTGCTCACCGGAGTGTCGTCCTCCTTTAAGAGAGGAAAGGAGACCCAAACGGAAACTACAGCTCCCCACGTCGCGGTCAGGCACCAGGGAATAGACACCTGTGACTTGGAACAGGGTTTGACGAGACTGTCGGTGGCCACTCAGACAGGACTAGAAAAGGCAGGAACAAGGGTGAAGGAGCAACCGTTGGTAGAGGCGGGACATGGCGATATAAAAGGGGAACGAGACAGCATACCGGGAGGGGGGGGTGTTGGGAATTAATATGGGTCGAGGATCCCTGGACAGGGAGATGTGAAAAAGTAAGAGTGCTTCGGGAGGAGGCTGATTACAGACGAAGAAGGGGTTTGCCTCCCAAACCGTCTTATTGGGGGGAATCCGAGGAACGAGACAGCATACCGGGAGGGGGGGGTGTTGGGAATTAATATGGGTCGAGGATCCCTGGACAGGGAGATGTGAAAAAGTAAGAGTGCTTCGGGAGGAGGCTGATTACAGACGAAGAAGGGGTTTGCCTCCCAAACCGTCTTATTGGGGGGAATCCGAAGCCAGAGAGTGGCCGAGGCGCTTCAGAGAAGAGAAAGAAGCGGTGGAAAGGGAGGAACGGGAAAGAAGAGCATGGCGTCTGGAGGAGGCTCGCCGGAGGAGGTATTTACCGGACCTTGGGACCCCTATGCAGAGGGAACCGACCCCTTCGAACATGAGAGGGGAGATGAAGAGACATTACCCCTGACTGAGGTGGAGATTGACACTAAGGACCAGGGTGAGACCAACCCTTTCTCTAAAGGACCCTGGTATGATCCAAGTTACAACCCCTTTTTACAAGATTTATGGACACCCTCGTTTGACCCGTTGGTGATGAGAGAAAAGAACAATGTCAAGTTTAATGTTGATATTTCTTTATTTGATGTTCCAATAAACCCCAGTTCTGTTTTTCAAAAAACTGAGCATCCTGTATTTGTGTCCAATCAGCCTGAGGTTAATCTTGAACCCTCACAAAAGACTATTGGGGGAGTTGAACATGAAAAAGTACAGTGCCCTCCGTTCAAAGCCCTTTCTTTGGATGCCTGAAAATCTATTTGAAGAGAAAGGTCTTTATCTGCCAGTGGGTGGACAATAAGAGCTTAGCCTGCCTTTGGAAGGAATTCCAAAGTCCCAAAGCAGCCATGGAGATACCCCTGCATTTGCTGTCACCAAACACGATTGTGAAGATGGCAGGACTGAAATAAGGCCTCTGTTGAAGATGTAAACACCTGGACAGGATCAAATGGAGAAATGCCATCTGCCAGATACCATAGTCTCCAGTCACATAGAGCTTTGTACATCAAAACTGACGAGTAGCTGGGAAGTAGTTGTAGATCAGGAAAACCCCTTGTGACCTTCCCCAGCCAATAATTGGCCGCCATGTTCTGGACCTGCTGAACTTTCTGAACTATTTCACCAACTAATTACTTAGTAAAAGTAACATTTAAAGCTCTGATTTAAGTGTCTATAATATAAATGTGCTCAGAACTGTTGTTCACAAAAAGCTGAGATCTGAAACACATGCACTACTATAATTAATGTTACCTATGCAAACTAAGATTTCAAACTAAAGATACCTCTCTAAGTATTTTAAGCATGGAAGCAACAAGATACCTTAGCAAAATCTATCTATCTATCTATCTATCTATCTATCTATCTATCTATCTATCTATCTATCTATCTATCTATCTATCTATCTATCTATCTATCTATCTATCTATCTATCTATCTATCTATCTAATTTTGAGATTCCTCATCCCATTAATGTTATTATGGCAGTTTGTCTTTGCAAACTATTTTAATAAGATATTTGATTGCATGAATAGAATCCATTTGTAAGGGCAGCATTCATTCTTCCTTTCTTTATATAGGAATATCATCACTGCATCTTTCCTTAAATTCATGAATCTCAACAAAACCTCTTTTCAAAGCACAGAGACTTTGCTTGTATGCTATAGCTGCTAATTGGCATGTCAGCTTCTCTGACCATGACAGGATAGAAAGAAAGGCTGCTAATTATTTCTTCTCATCATATCTGATGAATTTTCCACTCTTTTTCTCCTTGCTTTCAGAATGAGTCATTAGTCTGACATCGAACAATATTCCCTTATACCTGAACTTTTTTTAATGATCAGAAACTCCTTGCCTTTCATTTTGTTTTATCTTCTGCTTTTTATAAAGAGAAAAATGCTGTCATATTTTGCATTCAGCTCCAACCTACACGGTGGTGTAAAGAATGAACTCAGCCAATTGACACTGTCAGAAAACTGTCCTTTTAAAGCACTATGAACATGTTCAGTATAATTTTGAAGCTACTTTCAGTAGTGCAGGATATCCAACAATGTTATAAAATATAAGACAGTTTTATATGAATTAAATTATAGTAATTTCTTTTGTATTCCTATTCCTCTAAATCAGGCTTGCAAAATTTGTGAGTTTCAGCAAGCAAAACAGAAAGCTCCAGTCAGACAGCAGTGCTGGCCAAAAACTGTTGTTTCCTGAGGCATGAAGACAATACAA